GCATTTGAATGAGTTTAAAAAAAAAATCAGATTTTTAAGTAAAAAAATAAAGATCAGAATTCTTTTAAAATTTATAAAATACCAAAAAAATTAAAAATAATTTTAACTTTTAAGTCAATTTAAACGGAATTTAATACTCCAACATTACTTGCACTTTGCACCGACACAAAAATTCAAAGTTTTTGTCGTCGTTCTATATTAATAAAAATACGTTTGTTTTCTTTAAATTATATGATCTAGACGCTAGATACTTCTACTTTTGTATATACAATAAAAATAAAATCAGATCCACTCATTTATATTATTTTATTAAAATTTTGTTGCTATAATTGTCAACTTGCGTAGTAGAACAGAAAACTTTTGTTCGTCACTCATGACGACATCGTTTTTGGAGTTCACATGAACATGCCAGGTGTTTTTAAGTGCAAGAAACTATAGTAGTAAATTTAACAGAGAAAAAAAAAACTTGACAAAATTGAAATGATAGTAACAATATTTTGTTGTGCCATAGCAATTACTTTGTTTGTGTGTCTATGGAAAGTACTAAATTGGGTTTGGTTCCAACCAAAGAAGTTGGAGAAATTGTTGAGGAAACAAGGGCTAAATGGGAATTCATACAGATTTTTGTATGGGGACATGAAAGATTTTTCTAAGATGATTAAGGAAGCTAATTCAAAGCCTATGAATATGGATGATCATGATTTAGCACCAAGAATGGTGCCTTTCTTTCTTGAAACCATCAAGAAATATGGTAAGTTTTCACTCAAAAAGTTTATTCATTCGTAATCGAGTCAAAAATTAAAGTTTATGAATTTAATCTTTTTTTAGTTATTGCATAACTTATAAAGTTGATGTCATCTAATCAGAAAATCACGAGCGGGTTCGTAGACCCAACTTTATGTAGACATGTAGGAATTACTACAGATCATTGGAAACACTTTATGCAATAGACTCTCGTAGTCCGTTCCTTTCCACACCTGCTATAAGCTTTAGTGGATCGAACTGTTTTATACTAAATACTTTATTTGTTCCATTTTATATATTATCTTTTTACCAATTTTACATATTATCTTTTTACTTTGCATAATGCAAAAAGAAATAACGTAACTTTACCTTTCTATTCTTATTTAATTTTTTTAAACTCAAGTTTTCAATCAATGAATATGAATTAATTTAACCAATAGACATAAATCATTTACTTAGCTTTTCTAAGTTGGTTAAACGCATATTTTCAAAGCTAATAGCTCACAAGGTAAAAGAGGAACAATATACTCTCTCCGTCCAGTATTATTTGTCATGGTTTTTATTTTTAGAATTAAACTATTAAAACTTTGATTAATTTTTTAAGATGTATTTTTTCATCATATTAATATGCAAAAAATTGTAATTTATTGTACTTTTCATATTGTTTTAGAATATCTAATTTTTTTTGTTTAAAATATCGAATTAATGTGGTCTAATTTACCTTTGAAAATTAATCAAATTGACTTTCGATAAGCGCAACATGACAAATAATTCCGGACGGAGGGAGTAATATTTATGAATTGATTTTATGAAATGACAAGTACTATGGATGAACTATTTATAGAAATGAATGAGATACAAAATGATACAGAAGGAGTACTAATTATTGATATAAGTAGTAGATTAAATTCACTAATTTGTTATCCATTCACAAATCTCTCATTCATTTGCACAGACGGAGTTAGAATTCGAAGTTTAAGCTTTTTGAACTTGAAGTTGTAGTTCTCTTTAGTTACAAGGTTCACAATTAAATATCTGTACATATCTTATGAACTTGCTAATACAAATAAGCAGTTTAGCTAGAAGTTCCTTTGGTAAAATGTAGTTTGTTTGAACTATTTTTTCGAATTCGATAAAATTTGTAATGAGCATGTTATCCTGATTTCTTTATCTTTTAAAGATCACTCTGTTCATTTCGTTCTGTTCGATTGTATAGATGTTTTGTTTCGAATTTTGTACTTGTTGTAGTTAAGCTTGAGTCATATATATATATATTTGCAGGGAAAAAATGTTTTACATGGATGGGTCCAAGACCACAAATACTAATCATGGATCCTGAGCTTATAAAGGAAGTACTTTCGAAAACCTACGTGTATCAAAAGCCTCATGGAAATCCGTTAGGCACGTTATTTGTACAAGGATTAGTAAGCTATGAGAAAGATAAATGGGCCAAACATAGAAAAATCATCAATCCCGCGTTCCATCTAGAGAAGTTAAAGGTTTGTCATTCAACTTCGTGATTTGCCTTCCTTATCGTTCAATCTTAACTTTTATGTCATATGACTATTTCGAGTAATGTGGTATCTGCTGCCTGACTTGATGTAGACAATAGTGGTTCTATAGGGACGCGAATCTCACCTGGATCAATGATTCAATGTTCTAGATTGTTCTTCCACCAATCGATAATATGTTCACTCTTGCTTCTTGTATGTTCCACATATGGCTATATTGAGTGATTTCTGCTATACCTTAGCTTGAGTTAGACAATCCGAGAGTGAATCTATGGTTCAAAGAAGTCGAATATTGTCTGGATCATTATTTGTCAGGACGCTCTTTGCGTAAGTTTCTTGGCTTGGACAGAGTACGTGTTTAGTCCATGTTGTGTTCCTACAGACTAAGTTCAATTTTATTTGATATATTTACTATATGGTGATTGAATATGTGTTACTAATTATGTTCAAAGTGCAAGTGTTATTGACGTTTTCCCTGATTCACTATTTTCTCGAACAGCATATGCTTCCAGCTTTTTACTTGAGCTGTAGTGAGATGCTGAGCAAATGGGAAGACGTTGTTCGAGTTGAAGGCTCTCATGAGATAGATGTATGGCCTCACCTGCAGCAATTGACTTGTGACGTGATCTCTCGGACAGCTTTTGGCAGTAGTTATGAAGAAGGTAGAAAGATTTTTGAACTTCAAAAGGAACAAGCTCAGCATTTTCTCGAAGTTATACGCTCAGTTTATATCCCAGGATGGAGGTAAACTTATTGCTCCAAAGAATCCGAAAAATGTAGCTATAGGAAATGATTAGTTCTAATATTTGTTAATACGTTTTGGTTTTGTGTTTTCAAAGATTTTTACCAACAAAGAGGAACAGAAGAATGAAGGAATTAAAAAATGATGTTCGGTCTTCAATTAGAGGTATTATTGATAAAAGATTGAAGGCAATGGAAGCAGGGAACGCGGATAATGAGGATCTATTGGGCATATTGCTGGAATCGAATTTTAAAGAAATTGAACTGCACGGTAACAAGGACTTTGGAATGAGTATCGAAGAAGTCATTGAAGAATGCAAGCTGTTCTATTTTGCTGGTGCAGAAACTACATCAGTGTGGATTCTGTGGACGCTGGTGTTGTTGAGCAGACATCCAGATTGGCAGGAACGGGCCAGAGAAGAAGTATTGCAAGTGCTTGGGAGTCGAAAACCAGATTTTGATGGATTAAATCATCTAAAAGTTGTAAGTATTCTTGTTCTGCCATTGGTACAAAAAGCACGTGTGAATTTCTTTTGATCATCTCGTTCATGCTAGAGGAGCATCTCTGTTACAGGTAACAATGATCTTGTACGAGTCGTTGAGGTTATATTCCCCAATAACAGTACTTACGCGACGAGTTTATGAAGACATTACACTAGGAGAAGTATCTCTACCAACTGGTGTGCTAGTCTCATTGCCAATGATTTTATTGCATCATGATAAAGATATATGGGGTGAAGATGCAACCAAGTTCAATCCAGAGAGATTTAGTGAAGGAATATCAAGTGCAACAAAAGGTCAAGTTACATATTTTCCATTTGCTTGGGGTCCAAGAATATGCATTGGACAAAATTTTGCCATATTAGAAGCAAAGATGACTCTGTGTATGATCCTACAAAGCTTCTCTTTTGAATTGTCTCCATCCTACACACATGCTCCTCAATCCTTGGTAACCACTCAGCCTCAGTATGGTGCTCCACTTATTTTCCACAAACTATAATTTCACAATCTCGTGAAGAGTTTATTCAGACTCGATTCAGTGATGGAGTTACAATATCGAAATACGGGTTCAGAAACAGTTTCTCTATTTCATAAAGACAGGGGATTATGTGTTGTACTCTCCACTCTCCCCTGACCCTCATATTGGGTATGTTGTTTTTGTTATTCGGACAAACTCAGTAGTTTTCGTTAAAAGCTTGCATTTGTTTGAGCAAATCCACTAAAAATACTATACAACATCCGTGCTAGCACGAACTCAATATATATTGCTTTATGTGAAATAGTTGAAATTTGGAGAATTACCTCTATTTTTTTTAATATGGTTTTTAAATATTTTAGGTTGTCTATATTATTATGTTTACTGTTACAATATTGAAATTTTTTTAAAATATTCACTTAATGTAGACATGTGTTACATACGATGATTTTTTTCGGTGCCAAGTTTATGAGGGTAGGGATACAATCTATGTATTTTAGGATTATAATTACAAAAAAGTCCTCAGATATTTTCCTTTGCTCAACAATGTCTCACAGATATGGTAGATATAAATATATAGTAGTAATTTATATTTATACGTAAATTTATATTCAAACAAAATGGACAAAAATTCAAATTTTAGTAACAATATGTTGTTATGTCATAGCAATTAGTCTGTTTGTGTGTCTATTGAAAGTACTAAATTGGGTTTGGTTCAAACCAAAGAAGTTGGAGAAATTGTTGGGAAAGTAAGGGCTAAATGGGAATTCATACAGAATTTTGTATGGTGATATGCAAGATTTATCTGGGATGACTAAAGAAGCTAACTCAAAGCCTATGAATATTTATTGATTTCGTGGGGTTTAATTAGTAATAAGTGGATAGTAGATTGATTTATAAATTATACATAGTTGAGTGCCACGTATTTAAAAAAATATATAAATAGTTTAAATTTAAACCATTAAATAAGTGGTCAATTTTGAATTCAAATGTGAATGACAAGGGTATTTTGAAGCCAATAATTGGATGGAAAGAATATTTTGGACTCTCTCTATATAGATATAGATATAATTGAGGTAGAGGGAACGAAGAGAAGATTATAACGTGGGAATTTAACCTTCACCAATAAGATAAGAATTCAAATAGTCAATCAGATCATTCGTATTTATTTTACTTTTTCTTATTCAACAGCTTTTGCATTAAAGAACTAGTTTGATTAGACATGGACCATATTCTTAACGTCCTGGGTTAAAACACACCCCAAAAAAATGTGGAGAGCGGGAATTGCACTAAGTAAAAATGAAACGAGTAATTAAAAAGTAAAAGAAAATCCGAGCCCTTCTTGTTATTATAGGATGTATAATTATGAAAACACCCTCAGATATTTGCCCACAGATATAAATAAGTATAGGGACACAAAAATTTAACTGAAACAAAATGGAATTAGTTACAGCATGTTGTTGTGCCATAACAATTACTCTGTTTGTTTGTTTATGGAAAGTACTGAATTGGGTTTGGTTCAGACCAAAGAAGTTGGAGAAATTGTTGAGGAAACAAGGGCTAAATGGGAATTCATACAGATTATTGTATGGAGACATGAAAGATTTTTCTAAGATGATTAAAGAAGCTAATTCAAAGCCCATGAATTTGTCTAATGATATAACTCCAAGATTGGTACCTTTCTTTCTTGAAACCATCAAGAAATATGGTATGTACTTTATTTTTTGTTTATTTCGAGAATGATTTGTCATGCTTTACTTAGTATCTGCTTTGATATATTTTTCCTTTTAAGTCAGACGTGTTTATCAGAAACAATGTCTCTACCCAAGGTATGGTAAGGTCGGCATATGCTCTCCTCGAGACTCTACTAGTAGGATTACACAAAATCTGTTAAAAGAAAAATAAGTCCCTTAATTTTAGGTATTTTTGAGAAGACTGAAGTTCTTATAAGAAAACGTTAGATCATGCTCTAAAGTTTTGTACGTTGATGCAGGCGTTATAAGTAAATTTTATGTTTTGTCGGTAAGATTAGGTAATTTATAAGCAAAAGATGTATGAAGTGTACATAAAGATGCTTCTTAGGTAGAGGAGGGGATGAATTTGTTCGAGAGTTGAAGATATGTTTAAGTAAATAAAAATTGTGCTTTATTTGATACCTTAAACTTTTAGATGAGTTGATTACTCACAACATGATGTACGAGTAGATAGAGGTAGTTAGAAGTGTCCAGTGGGTCAAAGTCCCACATTAGTTGGAGAATGAACTGGTGGTCTGCTTATATGAACTTGAGTAATCTTCATCTCATGAACTAGCTTTTTCGGTTGAGTCAGACTCCAATATTATACTGGGGTCTTGGATTGAGTCTGACGGCCAAACATCTCTATTATCAAGAAGAACAAACAATGATTGTGATTACTGAAGCTGATTTAATTGAGGATGATGATATAAGCTAAACATAATCCAAATTAAACGCGTTCTTAGTTATACATATGCTTGCAGGGAAAAAGTCTTTTATTTGGTTGTGTCCAAAACCACAAGTACTAATCATGGATCCGGAGCTTATAAAGGAAGTATTCTCGAAAAATTATTTTTATCAAAAGCCTCATGGAAATCCATTTGCAGCGTTATTGGTACAAGGACTAGCAGCCTATGAGGAAGACAAATGGGCCAAACATAGAAAAATTATCAATCCCGCTTTCCATCTAGAGAAGCTAAAGGTTTGTCAGACGTTTCTTCGTTTTTCCTCCTTTAACGTATGACTATTTCTAGTAAATTCATCATTTGTCAAGACTCTTCTACAGTTCTATGTAAGTTCATAGGCTTGGACGGGGCATTTAGTCTATGTAAGTTGATAATGTCTTAGATATATTACCGTAAAATGAATCTTTTTTATATTAAAGAGATTTGTAATATTGCTGAACGTGTTTCACCTTAATTGTTGTTTGAACGCTCTTTCTTTTTATTAAACTAGATGGTGATGGTATCACTATATCTGTATTCCTAATTCTGTTTCAAGTGTTGTGTCATCGTTATATGTTCCCTTACATCATTTTCTCGAACAGCATATGCTTCCAGCTTTTCACTTGAGTTGTAGTGAGATGTTGAGTAAATGGGAAGACGCTGTTGAAGGCTCTTGTGAGATAGATGTATGGCCTCACCTTCAGCAATTAACTTGTGATGTGATCTCTCGTACAGCTTTTGGTAGTAGTTACGAAGAAGGTAGAAAGATTTTTGAACTTCAAAGGGAACAAGCTCAGCATTTTATCGACACTGTACGCTCAGTTAATATCCCAAGATGGAGGTAAATTAATTTGCCTGAGAATCGAAAAATTGTAGCCAAAGCTATGTTGTTCGGACTCTTAAAAATGATGATGGTTGCATGTTGGATCTTCCAAATATTAGTGCATTTCTATAGAATCCGACATGGTTGCAGGAACTATTTTGGAGAGTCCGAACAACATAGAACCAAAGTTCATCAGGAGATGCACATAGCTTTTACTTCATCTAATGCATTTTGGTTTTCTGTCTTATAATATAATTTCAAAGATTTTTGCCAACAAAGAGGAACAGAAGAATGAAGGAAATAAAAAACGAGGTTCGGACCTCAATGAAAGGTATTATCGATAAAAGAATGAAGGCAATGAAAGCAGGTCATGATGCCGATAATGAGGATCTGTTAGGCGTATTGCTTGAATCAAATTTCAAAGAAATTGAACAGCACGGAAACAAGGATTTTGGAATGAGCATCGAAGAAGTCATCGAAGAATGCAAGTTATTCTATTTTGCTGGCCAAGAAACTATAGCAGTCTTACTCGTGTGGACTCTGGTGTTGTTAAGTAGGTATCAAGATTGGCAGACACAGGCCAGAGAAGAAGTCTTGCAAGTGTTTGGGAGTCGGAAACCAGATTTTGATGGATTAAATCATCTAAAAGTTGTGAGTATTCTGTTTTTTTTAATTCTTGGTTTAGTTCATGTGCCATGAGTTCCTTCTCTCATTGTTATTGCTATTGCTTGAGAGCTTTGTGATACTAATGTTTCATTGTCCACGCACCAGATTCTAAGCACTGGGCGTGAGGTGGGGTGTTAAAAGATGGAGCAGATTCCTTATAAAGCTTGGTCAATCCTCCTCTCTTTGAGCTAGCTTTTGCGGTGTGAGTTAGACCTAAGACCTAATTTCACAATTACAACTTGTAACTTACAAGCTAACGATGATCTTGTACGAGTCATTAGATATAACTGAAGAAGAAGCCTTTTTTTTGCAGGTAACGATGATCTTGTACGAGTCACTAAGGCTATATTCCCCATTATTTACACATAACAGACAGGCAAGTGAAGACACAGTATTAGTAGAATTGTGTCTACCAGCTGATGTGCTAGTTTCATTGCCCACGATCATATTGCATCATGACAAAGATATATGGGGTGAAGACGCAAACAAGTTCAATCCAGAGAGATTTAGAGAAGGAATATCAAGTGCAACAATGGGTAAAGTTACATATTTTCCATTTTCATGGGGTCCAAGAATATGCATTGGACAAAATTTTGCAATGTTAGAGGCAAAGATGACTCTCTGTATGATCCTACAAAGCTTCTCTTTTGAATTGTCTCCATCCTACACACATGCGCCTCAACCCCTACTTACCATTCATCCTCAGTATGGTGCTCCTCTTATTTTCCACAAACTATAATTTCATATTACGTGAGGTATCTTTCACTTGTACGACTATACTGGATATGTTATTGTTCAGACAAACTCAATAACTCTTGTTTAAACCTTTTATCTGTACCAGAGAATAAATAACATGTTGCAAATTATATACAAATCATCTCAAGAACCAATGAGAAGCTTATTGTTATGACAAATTTAGATATATTCTACAAACACATTAAGCTAAAGAATTTGTGGAAAAAATAACTGTTTTTTTTTTTGGTCACAATAAAAACATGTGACATGCTAGTAAGCAGTAAGCACAGCCGGCCTTTTTGGCAATGAAACCACTACATACACTTGTACACTAATTCTTTTTTCATTTTTTAAACTAAAATTATGAATGTCAGAATACGAAATAACAAGTAAAAACAAACGAAAATGATTAAAAATATAAGAGAAAATCAGAGCCACTCATTGGTGTCTTTGCTCATCATTGTTGACGACGTCGTTTGTTAGTTCCCAGAGACATAGTATATATAAATTAATACTCCTCGTTTTTTACACACAAATTCAACTCAAACAAAATGGACGAAATTCAAATATTAGTAAGAGTGTGTTGTTCTGCCATAGCAATTGCTCTGTTTGTGTGTCTGTGGAAAGTACTAAATTGGGTTTGGCTCAATCCGAAGAAGTTGGAGAATTTGTTGAGGAAACAAGGGCTAAATGGGAACTCTTACAAAATATTGTATGGGGATTTGAATGATTTTATTGGAATGATTAGGGAAGCTAGTTCAAAACCTATGAATTTGTCTGATGATATAGCTCCAAGATTGGTGCCTTTCTTTCTTGAGACCACCAAGAAATATGGTACTCCTGTATACTTTGCTTATTACTCTAATTTCTCTAGACCGCACTCGTAGAGTTACACCGTATTTTAAATTTTTCGGTCAATCATAATTTGATACACGAGTAGGTAGAAGTTGTTATAGTAGGTCAAAGTCTATTTATATGGACTTGAACAATTCTCCTCTCATGAGCTAGCTTTAGGTTAAGTTAAGCCCAATGTTATATCTTTGCATGTTGTAGTATTAGAGTCAGGTTCATCCCCGTTTGAGCATCACACAACACTCTAGTTGGGCCTAGGCATGATAGGGGTGTTAGGATAGGTCAAAGTGCTATATTGGTTAGGGATTAGACTAGTGGTCTGCTTATATGGCTATGGCAATTCCTTTCTCATGAGCTAGCTTTTGGTTGAGTTAAGGCTAGTTGTAGTATCAGAGTCGGGTTCATCCCCGTTTGAGCATCGGTCTACACTATAGTTAGGCCTAGGCGTGATAGGGATGCAGGGGTGCACCCACAGAGGTTCAAGTGGGTTCATAAATAACACCATATATATATATATATATATGATCAGTTTTTAAAATTTTATATCTATATATTAACTTTTGACTCCACTAACACAAGTGTGACCCATGGCACAGTGGTGAAAAGGGCTTAATTTGCCCAGCCTGCCCGAGTTTGAATCCCTATTTCCCACATTTTAGATTTAGGATAGGTCAAAGTGTCATATCGGTTGGGGATTAGACTGGTGGTTTGCTTATATGGCTATGAGCTTTGATAATCCTTTTCTCATGAGCTAACTTTTACAGTTGAGTTAGACTCAGGTGTCGTATCTTTACAGAGGTCCTGGTTTGAGTATTACCGCCACACACCTATTATCGCAAGGATATACACATGTTTGGTTCTTAAAGTGAATCAAACAATGATTGTGATTAATGAAGCTGATTTAATTGAGAATGATTTGTACTAGTAGTTAATCCTAAGACATATGCTTGCAGGGAAAAAATGTTTTATATGGTTGGGTCCAAAACCACAAGTAATAATCATGGACCCTGAGCTTATTAAGGAAGTACTCTCGAAAACCTATTTGTATCAAAAGCCCGGTGGAAATCCATTTGCAGCATTATTGGTACAAGGACTAGCAACCTATGAAGAAGATAAATGGGCCAAACATAGAAAAATTATCAATCCCGCTTTCCATCTAGAGAAGCTTAAGGTTGCTTTTCTTCCGCGCCCTCCTTCAAACTTTGTGATTGGTCAACTAGAAATTATTATGTTTGTACACGACGGATAAAATGCTGGCTCATGCTTCTTTAGCTACTGCTCTCTACAAGTCTTTCTATCCCCTTTAATTCGCTATCCTTATCTTTCTATCTAATGTTTTATGTATTCTGCATATGACTATTGCAATTAAATCCTGATATTTAACTTGAGTTAGACAAGTATAGAAGGGTCTTATGGTTCTTCAGTGTCAAATCTCGTCTGCATCAGCGTTCAATGTTCTAGTTTTTTCATCCACTAAACTATAAAAATGCTCACTCTTGCTTCTCTGGCTACATTTGTTGTGTAATGTCTTAGATATATTATGGATCTGTTTTTATTATAAAGAGATTTGTAATATTCCTGACCGTGTTTCGCCTTATTTGTTATTTGAACTCTGTTCTTTTTTATCGAACTAGATACTGACGGTATCACTATATCTGTATTAGCTAATTCTGTTTTAAGTGTTGTCTCGTTGACATTTGTCGAACAGCATATGCTCCCAGCTTTTCACTTGAGCTGTACTGAAATGCTGAGCAAATGGGAAGATGCTGTTCCACTTGGCAGCTCTCGTGAGATAGATGTATGGCCTCACCTTCAGCAATTAACTTGTGATGTAATCTCTCGGACAGCTTTTGGAAGTAGTTATGAAGAAGGTAGAAAGATTTTTGAACTTCAAACGGAACAAGCTCAGAATTTTATCGACGCTGTACGTGAAGTTTATATCCCAGGGCGGAGGTAAGTTAATTTATCCTAGGAATTGAAAAACGGTAGTCATAGCTATGTTGTTCAAACCCTTCAAAAATGATGACAGTTGGAATTCCGATCCTCCAAAAATAGCGTTTTTTTGGAGGATCCGACATGAATGCAGTAACGTTTTTTTGGAGAGTCGGAACAACATAGAGCCAAAGTGGTCTATTATAAACTACAAAGTTCATTAGGAGATGCACATAGCTTTTACTTCATCTAATTAATGCATTTTGGTTTTCTGGCTTATAATATAATCTCAAAGATTTTTGCCAACAAAGAGGAACAGAAGAATGAAGGAAATAAAAAACGAAGTTCGGACCTCAGTTAAAGGTATTATCGATAAAAGAATGAAGGCAATGAAAGCAGGGAATGCCGATAATAATGAGGATCTGTTAGGCATATTGCTTGAATCAAATTTCAAAGAAATTGAACAGCACGGTAACAAGGATTTTGGAATGAGCATCGAAGAAGTCATCGAAGAATGCAAGTTATTCTATTTTGCTGGCCAAGAAACTACATCAGTCTTACTCGTGTGGACTCTGGTGTTGTTGAGTCGGTATCAAGATTGGCAGACACAGGCCAGAGAAGAAGTCTTGCAAGTGTTTGAGAGTCGGAAACCAGATTTTGATGGATTAAATCATCTAAAAGTTGTGAGTATTCTGTTTTTTTTTGTTTGTTTTTGGTTTACTTCATCTAAAAGCAGAAGTAGTACTTTGGTAGAGGTGATTAGACAAGGCATAACGCAACTTCAGTTTACCGAGGACCTGACTTTAGTACTCTAGTGAATTCATGCTAAGATATACACCTAAAGGAGAAGCAATTTTTTGCAGGTAACAATGATCTTGTACGAGTCATTACGGCTATATCCCCCATTGATAACACTTAATCGACAGGTTAACGAAGACATAGTATTAGGAGAATTGTGTCTACCAGCTGGTGTACTAGTCTCATTGCCAATGATCTTATTGCATCATGATAAAGATATATGGGGTGAAGATGCAAACGAGTTCAATCCAGAGAGATTTAGAGAAGGAATATCAAGTGCAACAAAAGGTAAAGTTACATATTTTCCATTTTCATGGGGTCCAAGAATATGCATTGGACAAAATTTTGCCATGTTAGAAGCAAAGATGGCTTTGTGTATGATCCTACAAAGCTTCTCTTTTGAATTGTCTCCATCTTACACACATGCTCCTAAATCCTTAGTAACCATGCAGCCTCAGTATGGTGCTCCACTTATTTTGCACAAACTTTAGTTTTGTAATGTAATGTAACAAGAATTAATATAAAGACTCAAATAAGGGGTGGAGTTTGCAATATTAAATATGGATCGTTTGTGAGAGATGTCTTGTAATATAGGTAAGAGTTAAAAGGGATGAAGTTGCAATTTTTTAGGGCTCGTTTAAATATGTGATATGAAATTATGATTTTAATTTGTTTAGACGTAATATGAATCATCACTTATACATTAATAATCTGCCTGTGATTTTAATATTTTTCTTAATTAGTTCTTATCTTAGTCTAATTATTTATTTGTCATGTATTTTTTTTAAATTTTACAAACGGTAGCTAATATTTTTATCTTTGTATTTTGCTTTTATTCTTTAAATAAATAGACAAAGGGACAAAAAAGAAGAAGAAAAACTAACAAAAAGGGAAAAAGGAAATTAAGAGGAAAAAAAGATTTAACCTTTTTAGAAAAAAAAAAAGACTGAGCCAACTAAAAGGAAATGAAAATTTAAGATAAACAAATTTAAATGTTTTTGCATTATTTTGTTTATTTTAAAGGTTTTAAGTTTAAGAGTACTCAATTCCCTTGCTTTTAGCTAATATTCGTTATGTCTCAAATTATGTGATATTTTTAAATTTTAATGATAAAATTTATCTTTAACATGTAATTTTGTTAATATGTTTTAACTAATTTCAATAGTCAATTATTATAATTTAGAATAATATTTTTTTAATATAATTTTCAAAAATCTTTAAAATCCTATATTTAAATTTATGATTAACTTAAAATAGTTAACTATCAAAATTTAGATGATATAATATAAATTGACTAATTGAGACAAAGAAGTATTAGACGTAAACACTTCTTGATATTTGGTAACATGATCAAATAAGTCATCAATTATTGCAAATAGTTCATTTAACTTATCATGTTAAATATCTCTTGGCAATGCTTTTTTAAAAAAATTATATGGTTCATGTCTTTTTTAATATTTTTCTTTAGTTATCTTCGATTATTATTTATATTTTGATAATCTTTTAACGTGGAAAAAGTTTATGGACAAAATATTTCCAACTAAAGTATGAAAAACTCCAGCAAATGATATTGAAATTCAAAGAATTTCGGGTTTATAATTACAGATCGTGTAGATTATCTTTTCTTAATAGCATATAGAAATATAAATCGTGATAGAAGAGATTAGCTTAAGAAAAGAAACTAAGTGTATTTTCCTCTTAAATATTTGAGTCTCGATCCGCTTTCACTCCTTCGAGGCAAAGTATATTAGAAAAAATAATACAAATACGATTGAAGAAGAAAATGTCTTTGAGATATTTAATTACTTTCTTTAAGGAGATATTGTTTGTATATATATATTGAGAAAAATTCAAACGAATCCTTAATTTATTCATGCATATTTTTCTTAGGGTAATTATAAAAAATCTTTATATATATAGAATTTAATTAAGAGATATCTTTTCATCAGAACGATATTTTTTCATGAACATATGACAACTTTTTATAACGATTATGTTCTTTCATGAACATCAATTTAAGAACTCTATATATTACAAAGAGAAAAGACATAAAATTACCGTTGAAGTTGTTTTGAATTTTCAAAAAGACACTTTAACTTTGCGAATGTCCTATTACCCCACGAAACTATCTAAATCTTCAATAAATATATCATTTTGACTAATTTTAACATCACTCGTGTTGTCACATCATATGGGCGCGTGAAGCACTGTTGATACAACTTCATACCAATGTAAAATTGTTATTTGACACTTCCAATTTGCCTTATTGAAAAAAATATAAAAACTCATGTATTAATTATTTTTTTTAATTCATTAAGAATAATTTTTAATTTTTCAATTTTTTTTCTCATCTTCCCTACCATCATTAGCTTACCCATGTTTCTTGAATATCCATATCTTCCTTCATTTCTTTTTCTCTTTTTCCTTTCTGGCGTTTTTTTTAAATTAATGTTATTGAGGGGTTTTTTTCGAAAAATAAATTAGTTTGGTGATTTTTTTTTCTCTTATAAATTAAGATTGGGATTTGGGAGTAGTTAAACTATGAAAAATTCAACTTCGAAGTAAGAGTTAGAAAAGGTGGTGATTTAAATGTCAGATTTCACTTGGTAATATTTGAGTATTTAGATTTTAATTATTTGACGATATTTATTTGCATAAATAAATTAATTGATAGTAATTTGACTAAAAATTGATAGTGCTGCTGTGAAATCTGCTCAACCACAATGAATTTGAAGATTCTTGAAGCACAAAGAGAATGGAAAAGGTGAAGAGAAAGAGAAAAAACGAAGTTGAGGTGAAGAAGAAAGAGAAAAAGGAAAAAAGAATATAAAGAAATTACGTACATAAAAAATTAAATATTATTTTTAATACGTGGCAAGTGTCTATTAGTGCGTGACATACAAATATATTTGTATAAGTGGTATTGAGTGAAAAATGAGGTATACATTCTACTTTGAAGTTGTTTAATGAGGTAATAGGACACCTGCAAAGTTAAAATATCTTTTTAAAAATTGAAAACAACTTCGATGATATTTTTATGTCTTTTCTCTGTAACAAAATATATATACATGCTTCCTAATTTGGTGTTTTATGACTATTGCACACTCGACCTTCCACGTGTTTGTTGCTTACTTGAACACGTATCATCCATCTATTTTTGTCCTATACATTAATATAAAATTATTCAAAATAGAGACACGTCATCTATAAATTATTGTTGGAGTTATGTCACTTTGTGCTTTAATTAGACGTGTTTTTCTATATTGATTTTCTTAATGATTTGGCAATGTTATGCTCAGAAAAGAAACCAATAATGAATATGGGGTATATAGAATTGTCATTAAACGAATATCATAATATAAAGAAGTAAATAAACATAAGAGAAAATTAAATGAGATTTTACTATCTATACATAAAAAATAAGTTTAATATGAATGAATAATGCAATTTCTCATTGAACGGATAATTTAATCTTTAATTCTACATAGCTCCTCCCCCTCCCTAAAGCAACAATTAAGATGAATTATGATGAAATGATAGAGATCTCGACATTTAAAGATTTCAAATTTAAATTTCAAAAAATGATTATGATAATTAAGATAATTTGAGATATCGATAATATTCCATGTAGAGACGGCTCTACGGAATAACGTAAAGGATAAGTTATGAGTTCATTTAGATTTAATATTTCAATTCAGATTAAAATTATGAATAAGAATTTAATTGAATAAGTGCAAGTATTTAGGGTGGGTTTACTATTTAGTTAGAAAATTTCTTCCTTACACTTTTCATATTGATATATTCACATTTTTGAATTGTTCATCAATTCATGTTTGATTATTCTCTTGAGTAAATGCGTGAAACTAGTAAAATTTATATTTTTAATCGAATAAGTGCAAGTATTTAGAGTGGGCTTATTATTTAGTTAGAAAATTTCTTCCTCACACATCTCATATCGATATATTCACATTTTTGATACGTTCATCAATTTATGTTTGACTATTCTTTTGAGTAAATGCGTGAAACCAGTAAAATTTATAATCGATTCATATATTTAATCCATCATTTACTTTTATTTATCTATTATATTAAAAATGAATTATTTAATACCTTAGTGTTTTACAAATTTCAAATTATTTTCCAAATTAATTAAAGATTATAGACTAACTAATACGTGTATAATGAATTATTAAATATGCACGTCATCAATTTTTCTTCATTACCTTATAATTATTTATTTATTTTTTAAATTATTTTTTAAAATTTTATCTTAAATATTAATTTATTATGATAATATATGTACGTCCATTTTTTTTTAAAGAATCATTCAAAGTTTAAATCAGATAACTAAGATTGAATAGAAAATATTTATCGAGAACTAAAAATACGCGGGTGAATAAATAAAAATGAAAGAAATAAATTTAATATAAGCCATCTATATATATAATACATACCATGAAATGACAAAGTGACAAAGTAGAGTGTAAGAGCTTATTATATAGTGAACAATTCTCTCTTTTAGATCACAAATCCCTTGAACAAACAAAGCAAAAACCAAATCATTTTTCTAAGTTAAAAAAAAAAAATCTGATTTTTGTTTTTCTTACTGGAAAAAAGCTTCTTTTTTTTCCTTTCTTCATCATCTGGGTTCTAAAATAAATCAAGATTCAGGTACCCCATTATTTATAATACTCTTTTTTTCATTGCCATACGCTCAAAATTTGATCTTTTTTTCTGTTTCATGTGGACCCTTTAAAATCCCTTTTTTTAAAAAATATTCTGTTTTGATGGGGTAATTTGTATTAAAAAATTATGATGATCTTTCTGTTGTGTCCCACTATTTTATTTATTTTTTTAAAATAATTTTTTGCAGGATTTTGATTTTGTAGTTTGAGTAAAAAGGGGGTTGATGGCTACTCGTAATTTGGAGAAATTTGCATCTATAGATGCACAGATGAGGCTTTTGGTACCTACTAAGGTGTCTGAAGATGATATGCTTGTTGAGTATGATGCTTTGCTTTTGGATCGATTTCTTGATATTCTTGAGGATTTGCATGGAGAGGGTATCAAAACAACAGTATGTTTATGCATTTCAAAATTTCAATCTTTTTTTTAACTGTGTTTTAGCTGAAGATTTGATTTTTATGTGTTATAGTATTATGTATGACGCAGTGGTGAATGAAATGGTGGGAGGTGATAGGTATTCTGTGGAATTAGTCGAGGTGTGTACACGATTGTTATAAAAAAAAGAAGTTTTTAAAAAAAATAGTACTATAGTCTCAGTTGAACATTTTGTATCTTTAATAGTGGTGATTTCTTAGTATTATCAAAGGTGCGCTTAAAATGTGATTAATCCCTGAAGTGAGGTGCAAAAACATGTCAAGTGTTTTGCCTCGCTAAGATTAGTGGGCACTTTAGTGTCATTATCAAGGCTCTTAAGTATATATTTTTCCTTGCCAATGAGCGAAATCCAATTTCTTTGTTGATATGTTTGAAATAAATTCGTATATTTATTTGTCTTGGACGACACAAGCATATTTTGTAGTATTTTTTTTCCCTCCATTTCTGCGTAAAGCCCCGACAGACTTTAGAACATTTTTACTCTTTCGCCTTTGATAATGCTGGATTTTGTTGATGTGATTTTAGGTCCAAGAATGTTATGAGCTTTCTGCTGAGTA